GATTTTTTGGCAGTCAGACGAACAAGTACAGTTATTAACAAGGTTTGGTGATGTTTGTTTATTGAATACAACTTGCAAGACTAATTGATATTGCCGATCATTAGTTCTGGTGATTGTGGTTGATAATAACACTAGAAGTAGATTGATTGCTCAGGCACTATTGCCAGATGAATCTATAGACTCTTTTAATTGGCTCTGTACATGTCTCAAAAAAGGAAATCCAGAATATGAGACTGATGTTATTTTTTCAGATTCTGATCCTGCAATAACTGCGGCGATTGCTAAGACATTTATAACAACTTATCATCACCTTTGTGTATTTCATATTAATAATAATATAAAAAAAAAGGCACGGTTAAAACTTGGTGAACAATATAATTAGTTTATGAATAACTTTTATACTGCACGAAATTCATTACAAGAAGCTGTATTTGAATGCTGATATGAATATTTAATTAAAACTTACCTAGCTATAGAAAGTTATTTATATAAACTTTACTAATCAAAGCAAAGTTGGGCCTGTTGTTTTACAACACAAGTTTTTAATACTAGAATTCAGAGTACGCAATGTATAGAATGCTACAATAACCTTATTAAGTCTAGTGTTAACCAAACATCATCTTTGATTAAACTAAATAATGCAATTCAGGAGTATCTTGATTTGGAAAATAAGTATAGCCATTCTCAAGAGACTATAAACTTTGATCATAATGGCAACTTACAATTAATAAGTAGAACATTATTTCCTGAAATTATTGTAATGTATGAAAAATACCTTACTCCTTATATAATTGCTGAAATAAAGCAACAAATTTAACAAGCACTTTGGTATAGGTGTTATTCATATAATATTTTACAAGAACATTATGACAATGAACCTGAACTTACTGATGAATGTATTGAAGACAATTATAACTTGCAACAAATGCATATTAACTCTATGCTAAACAATGTGTTAGATGATAAAATTCAAGAAGCTTGGCATGTAGTTAGACTTACAGGTTCTGCAAATATATACTATATTATTATATTTAAAGATAGTTCATTTTTATGTACATGTACTTGGCCAGTTAGTCA